ACAGAGAGTGAGACAGACATACAGGTAAACAGAGAGAGAGGGGGGAGGGAGATAGATAGATCGATGGATGGATATATATATATATACACAAACACATATATATATACACACACACACACACACATATATTTATATATACATATATATATACATATATATATATATATATATATATATATATATATATATATATATATATATATGTATGTATATATATATGTATACACACACACACACACACACACACACACATATATATATATATATATATGTATATATATGTATATATATATATATATATATATATATATATATATATATATATATACAAATATATATATATGTATATATATATGTATATATATACATATATATATATATATATATATATATATATATATATATATATATATATATATATATATATATATATATATACGCCGGGTGACACCGATCGGCGTGCAAACAAACCGCTCGAAAGCTGGCGTGCGGCTGTACGCCGCGGCGGCGCGCCAAAGCGCGGCGAGCCAGTGATTCAGGCTGATGTCCCCTACTCACGCGCTCAAAGTCGGCGCGCCGCCTTTGTTTGCTAAACCGTAGTTTTTTTTTTTTTCTTGTTCTGTACACCCGGTGCCATTGGGATATATATATATATATATATATATATATATATATATATATATATATATATATACATATATATATGTATATATATATATATATATATATATATATATATATATATATATATATATATAAGAGAGAGAGAGAGAGAGAGAGAGAGAGAGAGAGAGAGAGAGAGAGAGAGAGAGAGAGAGAGAGAGAGAGAGAAGAGAGAGATGGGTAAACAGAGAGAGAGGGAGGGAGGTAGACAGAGAGACAGAACGATAGATCGATAGATAGTCATATAGATAGATAGAGAAAAAGAGACAGAGTCAGACAGGCAGGCAAGCAACCCGACACACAGACAGACAAACAGAGAGATAACAGAACCCAACAGAAAATATAAAACTTGAGAAAAGAAAAGAAAAGAAGAAGAAGAAACGCCTATTGAAACCTGATATTTTTTTTTTTACTCTAGATAAAATTTAGACTGAATAGATCTCACAAACTGTAAAGATTAATCCGTATTTTATTCCTCATGCAATAGACCCTGCTCACGACAAACTAGAAGAGTTTCCCCTAAAGTATTTTCATTTTCTCTAGTGTTCTACAAAGTTTTCTGTTATACAGCACTTTCGAAAAATATTTTACTTCGTGATTACAAGGACACTATAGTTAGCAGAAACTATTGAAATTCTGTCTGTCATAGCAATTCTTGAATTTGAGTTTGTTAAAATTGATAATGACAGTGTCATTGATAACGATACAACGACAGCTTCTACTACTACTATTACAACTGCTACCACTACTACTACTACTACTACTACTACTACTACTACTACTACTACTACTACTACCAATACTACTACTACTACCAATACTACTATTACTGCTGCTGCTGCTGCTGTCTGACCACCAATAAACTTCAAACCATAAACCTTTCACCCCCCTATATATCTATCTATCTATATATAAATATATATATCACATATATATATGTATATATATAAATATATATAAATATATATCTATCTATATCTATATCTATATATGCATATATATATATATATATATATATATATATATATATATATATATATATATATATATATATATATATATATATCTATATGTATGTATATATCACCAGAACAGACGCTGGGAAACCCGACTCACACATTCATACCTCATGACGCACTCTGTGCTCCACATGCAATGTTCCTCTTTCAGTCCCACATATCTCCCCGCTTTACTGAAGCCTTGCTTTTCCTTATTTGTCCTCTCTACCCCGACCCCCCCCCCCCCCCCACCTATCCAGCATACTCGTGGAATCCCCACCTTTTCAATTAGCAGCCTGTTCTCCTTCCTCCATTTGATCGAATCTGCCTTTCTCATTCTCCTATCCCCTTCTATCAGTCCCTGTACTACCCCATTTACTCCTCCTCTTTCTACTTCTTTCACTGTCAATGAGTCACTGTATATCTCTTTGTCAACTTTTACTCCACAATCAACACTTCTCTATGACAGATGATGCTTCACAGCATGATACACTTTGCACACTTCTGCAGTCATTATTTCGTCATCTTGAAATGTGCGAGTTGGCCAGGAAAATGATAACAGTGAAAACTAATACTAATGTGTTGTGTTTATCTGTGGCAACGTGCCGTTCAACTGCATTTTTCCATGAGGCGTTAATACCCACGCCATAACGGAATAGTTTACAAAATACAGGAAAGTCACTTTTTCTGCTTTTAGCAATAAATCCGAATTCCTCAAGGTTAAATGTACTCTTTCTTTTTCGGGATTTTATGGGTTTAACCCATACAAGAAATAAAGTCGACCACTAAACACCTTCCACTGCAGCCTTCGACAAACTGACCCTCCCAAACTCCGACGTGCATTTCATTGGCTTGATTTGACTCGTGCACGTAGAAAGAAAGTAGTGCTCCTGACGGCAACTACATGAGATTATAATAAAGATATGTTAGTGGATATTGTGACCTTCAATTTTTACTGTTTTAGTATACGTAAAGTCATCTTGTCTCCCTTATTCTGTTGCCATGGAGACCACCGGACCCCTCTACCTGACCTGACCTGCCGCCGCTTTGTCCTCACCTGCCCTACCCTTTCCCGTGTTCTTTGTCGACCTTTCTCCCATCTACCTTTTCAGTTCTGGAAATGAAACTGCCGAGGATTCAAACATATCTCACATTTCTAGAAACCTATACTGTGTATATATATTTTTTTCTGTCAATACGTCGTTTATTTGCAATATGTAATAACAAAATAGCAAATTGGGTATAATGGATGAAGGGCATCTGTTTATTATAATCATAATTATAATCATTATCAGTTTGTCTTGTCAATTCTATACTAGATAAAAACAAAACAATAAACATCATTAGGCTAATAAAGCAAAACAGCGATTCAATCTAATAAGCTGAACGCCTCAAACAGATGCCTAAACGAAGTGTAATTCTACCGTTACAACCCGACATTATACCATAACAAATAAAGATAATCACTGTGGTCATGCGTCGCGCTGATAAAGTTGACCGTGATTTCCTGTGTACCTGAGCCCAGTGTTGCCATTTTAACGATTTTTCCGCCTGATCTAGAGTTCTTAAGGTGTGAACTAGTTGATTTTTTTTCCCTTCGAGAGTTTAATTTATATTTAGCTATTTTTTAAGTCCGTTTTTTTGGACGGAAAATGAAGAGATTTTACTCTCATGGCCAGCGGTTTTGTGGAAATATCAGTGACAACACTCGTTAAATCTCTGATACCAATGTGTTAGTTCCAGTATTTCAGTATTAGCATTAGTAAAATAATTAGTTTTTATTATTTTTGTTAACGATATTATTATTACTATCATTATTATCATTATCATTATTATCATTATCATCATTATCACTCTTAACATCATTACTATCATCATCATTATCAATAGCATCATTATTATCATCACCATTGGTAGCATCACCATCATCATTATATGATGGTACTGCCATATATATATATATATATATATATATATATATATATATATATATATATATATACATATATGTATGTATATGTATATTTACTGAAAATGGTATTCACTTAACACATGTAGTACCTGGTGAAACGAAAGGGATTGCTAGATATGAGTCATTTTAATTTATTCTAATAGCAGTAATTACCATAAACATGATTATACGATAAATGCCAGGTCATAAATGTACGAATAACAGATTAATAGAGAAATAACTCACTGATACATTGAAAAAAATATATAGACATAAAGAGATATATATATCCACACATACACACACACACATACACACACACACACATACACAAACACACACACACACACACACACACACACACACACACACACACACACACACACACACACACACACACACACACACACACACACACACACACACACACACACACAGAAAGAGAGATAGAGAGAGAGTGGGGGGGGGAGGTAGAGAGGAAGAGAGAGAGAGGGGGGGAAGGAGAGAGAGAGAGAGAGAGAGAGAGAGAGAGAGAGAGAGAGAGAGAGAGAGAGAGAGAGAGAGAGAGAGAGAGAGAGAGAGAGAGAGAGAGAGAGAGAGGAACAGAGAGGGAAAGGAAAAGGGATAATACGCATAAGTGCGTCAACATATGTCAGAGACAGCGCTCCTCCCATCACTAGATCCGTATTATGTTCAGTAGAAAAACAAACCATCGAATCACCCATTATTTCCCAAGTTACTCGCCAATACAGCGCAAAAATAACTGCTTGTTATAAACCGGACAATCACCCCGGTCATCTTCTACGATGAAATTTTCGTAGTAAAACGAGGGAATTCCGTAGTAAATCCCTTTCCCTTTCAATATTTGGCGCCGCCTGGAGTCTGCCATTTTGTACCCAAGTTGACAATTTCCATTTATTAAAAAAAAGCAGTTTAATCGGACCATTTTCCTTGCAGTCGTTTGAATAATGATCGTTTATTGCTCTTTTACCACGTGATTATACTTGTAAACAGTAGTTATCTTCTAATTACAGATAAGTCTTTATTTCATCCGACTTAAGATAACGTTTCCTAATGATAAATAATTATGATAAACGGAAGCATCTGGCAACGATATCAAGATGGCGAGCGGGTAGGATTCGCCTCGTTTTTCTCTCTCGTTTTTTTGCTTTTTTCGTGTTTCGTAGATAGGTTTTGAGGCCGAAATTATGTGTCCCGAGTGTATGAATAATCGGAGAGTTATGTGAGGTCAAAGGGGAGAATAAGTGATGGAAAGGCTAAAGGTAAAATAAGAAACAGGTGTTTTTATATATAGTGTGAATTTTTTTTTTGTTTTTTGTTTTTTGTTTATTTTTTTTTGTTTTTTTTTTGTGCGACATTTTCGAGGTGAGAATTTTCCTTTTGTCTCAGTGTCATGTTGTTCTCGGAAACCAACGGAACTCTTCTTGACCAGATTCCATAAACACCGAATAAGGAGAAGAGAAGGAGAAGGAGAAGAAAAGAAAAGAATTGAGAGAAAGAGAGAGAAAAGAAAGAGAGAAAAAAAAAAATTGGAAAAATATTTATTCGTAACGGAAATCCAACGTTGTGAAGTGAAACGAAAAGAAAGGAGAGAAGAGAGGAAGAAAGGAGAGAGAGAGAGAGAGAAACAAAGAAAATCCCGTTTTATTATCATGTGAGGAAGAAGAGAGGAAATGGAGGAGAAGGAGAAGGAGAAGGGAAAAAGGGGAGGAGGAAAGAAGGGAGAAAGGATAGAAAGGGAAAAGAAGAGGAGGAAATTTGTGCTTTTTTGTTTTTTTCCCCCTCTTTCTTCTTCCCTCTTCCTCCTCCCTTGTTTCTTGAGTGGAAGGAGATCTGTTTTGTTTTGTTTTGTTTTTTGTTTTGTTTTTGTTTTGTCTTGTTTTGTTTTGTATTTTGGGAGATGTTAAAAGAGGATATGGGATAGCATTAGTGACCTTTCTCCATGCTTTTGTTTTTATGTGAAGTAGTTTCTGCCGTTTGTCTTGATTCGATTTCCTCCAAGGCCGAGGAATTGGTCGCGGTAAATCTCGAAGCGAGGAATGCTTGGAGGAACGAAGAGAGAAACGAAGAGAAAAACAAAGTGAATGCCCGTAAAAAGTGCATGAAACGAAGACTAACCATCGGCCGTCATACCTGTTGAAAGGGAAAGGACAATAGGGCTGACAATATGACAACTATGGCTACGTCGAGGCCACAGTAATTGGCAATTAGGGTCTAGAATTACCCGACGATAATTTAGGAAAAAAAAGATAGATTACTAGTGTTTTCTGTTTTGGAATTCTGTTGCAAGAATCTGATTCAAGGATTGCATAGTGATTGCATCACCTTTTGGTTTGTTTGTTGCCATATGGTCTTGCATCATTTTTAACTTTTAAATTAGCGTAAAGAGATGATTATGATTTACATGAAGAGATCAGCATAACCTTTTATTTATTTTTTGGTAGGAATTTGTAAATTACGTAATCTTAAGTCGGATAAATTAAATTTGTAATTACCTTGTTATTATTATTATTAGGCTTTTTCATCAAGATTTAGTTTTGAGTGATTTTACGGGTTTTATACAGGTACGCAGGAGTGTTAGCACCTGAGCTAGTCTTAAATAGTTGTTTTAGAGTTGTACATTTCAGTGGAAAGAAAGATGTAGGACTTGAATTTAGTTTATTGAGAAACATGCACAATTTGATTCATTGCTAGTATATTTATACTTGTTTGCTGCGTAGTGTTTTGCAAATATTGATGATTACATGGTATTGACAATGAATATGACATATGCTTTGGCAGATGTAGACCTGTACAACACATCTGCTGTGACTAAGAAAAAGACTTTCTTGTACTAATATTAACTATGTTCTGTCCATATCCACTTAAAGATTACTGTGGTCTGTGATGGGAGGCTAGCAATATTAAATTCCACCTGAAAGTGGCCCAGTGTTAAGATTATAGTTTAAATATGTGGAGGAAGTCTGTTTGCCTTTGCTAAAGCATCAACAGGCATGGAGGTCATGGCATTTGGTACATAAGCTAGTGGCAAGAACGTTGGGGGGGGGGTCTTGTAAATGCTTATTCGTAATTTGAAGAATTGGGAATGTTTATAAGTGAAAAGGGCATTTAGAAACTTGAAGATGAATCATTGGGACTTAGGATTGAAAGGCAAATGAATTTGAAGATATTTTGCAAGTGACAAATTTGTTGTGATTTGAGACTGATTTCAGATCGGAAGTGGCTTGATAATAATTATTTAAAGAATGATAAAACAAGGTGCTAAGACCTATCTAGTGATGTTTTGTTAAGGAAGAATCCATCCAGACCGTATCTTGTCATAATGTGTGTGGTGGAAGGTTGTTTCTTTGCCAGAGTTCCAAAGTCATATAAATTATGGTTATTACTGGAGGCCTCTATCAGTATATTGTAAATAAGGTAACTTGTAAATGTTTAGAAGACATCTGTTTGTCTGCCACTGGAGCAACAATAGATTGCAAAGCCTTCATGCCTATTGTTGCCCTGTCAAAGGCCAACAAACCCCCACAGTATACATTCTTGCAATGTAGGGTTTGTAGCTCTCTTTTCTATTAGTTGTCAAATAGTGAACAAGTAAAAACCTTTAACTTAGGGGACATTAATGGTATAAGTATGCTGGTCTTTCCTGAAGTGCATAGGCCATAGCAATTGTTAGACCGTTTGCCAATATTGTAATTGACTTAAATTTAGAAATCATAGCAAGTTTCATATGAATTTAAGAAAAAAAGTCGGTTTGGACGCCACTGCAGGTGGCCTCAAGATGTTTACCAGATAATGTTTGCCTTTTACTGTTGGTCTATGTATTCTTTCAATTGTAGATTTGCCTTGTAGAAAAAAAATGCATTTGATGCTTTTTGATTAAACTCATCAGAAGTATATGAATTTCTAATGAAGATATAACTGAAATGTGTCTGATACATTTCTTGTTCCGTAAAGTTTCCCATTCTTATTCATATCTTCTACATTTAACACAGTAAATTCTGTTCATTCTTGGCAATGTACATTCCCTGCCACATTATGTTACAAAGTAGATGCAAACTATAGAAGATTGTTATATGTTATCGTAGAAGTCGGCCTTGGAAATATTTGTTAAGACAATTTGTATGGTATGCTTATCCATGCAACTTATGTATTGCATTCTAGATCACTGTTTTTCTTTTTCTAGTGTTTCTATCTGGGGTTATGATTTCTTGATCTTGGTTATATATTTTCAGTGTGTTCCAATAGAAGATGGTTCTTACTACATTTGTATTCAAGTTCTTAGTTTTAGGAAGGAAATATTATTGACTAGGCTAAACTTGAATTGGCTCAACATGACTAAACAAAGAGATAAATGGATAAGAACTAATAAGAATGAACAGTTTTCCCCTCTTAAACTAAGTTATTGTTTATTTTTGTTTGTTATTTGCAGTTTTACACAAAAAAGGCTAGTCAAAATTACTATTCATGTAAAGTAAACAAGAAAATTCTTTTTGATTGGCTATAGAATTTTACAATACTGTTTAAATGTCTTGAGAGACCACTAATATTTTTGATCACAAATAAGAAGGGTATAATTCCTAGAATTCTTTGTATACATGGAGTTTTATCATAAGTTTTACTTACAATTTTTTTTCTTTCGTAGTGTCATAGTTCTGTGAATTGCAACTCATGTTCTTAAGAAACATCCATTGATATATATTTTTATACGTTGCACTTGTCCTCAAACCATATGTGACTTGACTGGTCTTATTACAATATCTTAAACTTCAGTAATTTTACGATGTGTTGATGGCATTTATGGAGTATATTTTACATAGTATATACATGTAAAGATAACTCTTACAATAGAGACATATACTATACAGTAATATACATATTCAGCCTTATGACAACAGGAGGATTCAAATAAAAAGAATATTAAAAAGAATATCATAAGTCAGTGGGGATCGGGATGGAAAAACAAATTTCTTTGATCCATTGATAGTGCCAGCTTCCAGAAGACTGGTTTTGTGTATTGAAGGTTGGCTGGTGTTGTATGCTCTACTGTGCATTTGGTCAGTCTTGTATGTCTGAATACTTGTCATTTTTGTGTATTTATTTTTTTCAATTTTTTATTCTTAAAAAGTTGTTTGTGGATTGTTGGAATGAAATAATCAAAGGAAATGTGTATGTGAAAGAATATATATGACCTCAGAGATAAATGATATGCTACTGGGTAATGAATGTGGATATAGGTTTGCAAGTTATCACAGTTACCCTGTGCTGAATAGAAACATATTGGTTGTTACATTGATACAAGCCTCTTTACTAGAAACTACCTTCATTTATGTGAAAGTCTTTGGGCATGTGCAGACAACTTTTATTTGTGAGGAAGTGAATGTGAGAATGTTGGAATAAGTTTGTAGGATGCTGTGAATAGTTAATGGTATCCAAGACAGTTAGTATTCGTTCTCTTGTGATGTCTCTTGCATGTTGATTTTGCTTCCACTTTCATAAGATTATTATTATAATTTCTAAAAGGAAGGAATCTTTGGCTGCTTATCTATTATTCTGCTCAAACTCACAAGAGGATTTTATATTATACCCTTCTAATTACTTTTCAGTGTTAAATTATATCAAGCAATCTTTTTTTATGCAGGTAATTCATATATGGTGATTTTTGCATTTATACGTTACTTCATAGAGAAAGTTCTGAGTCTCGCATTCTGTTCCAGGGGCCGTTTTAATGAGGTCTGCTGTCCTCAGCATCCAGAAGCACACTTAATAGAGGATTACCGTGCTGGTGACCAGATCTGCTCAGAATGTGGTCTGGTTGTAGGTGACAGGTGAGTTGGCTGTTATCTTTTAACTTTTTTCTTTGTTTTTATGGTTTTATTTAGTACCAGCAAAGTTATTGTTAGGATATAGGGAGTGTTATTCTGTATTTTTTTTCTTATTTAAGATATTCTAATACTACTGTGAATTCTAACAAATATTTTAAAAATTTGCTTGCCTACGAAATCCCTATGAACTTTGCATATGCAAATAGTCAGACCCTATCAGACTGCTCTGGTGTAAACAAACATGGTGCACATATAACAATCAGTCCTATTGTAGGTTCCTTTGTTCCATAAGCATTGGGTCATGTATATTATGCTGGCAAGAATACTACCTCATAGAACTTGCAGTGATTTCATTGTGTCAAATCATGAAATGCAATTTCTTTCTTGATGGTTACAAGGTTCATTCATGCATTGGCTTCATATATTGTGTAAATATTTTTGTTGCTCAATTTTGCTTGCTTTTAAAATGCACCCCCCCCCCCATTTTTTTCATACTGGTAGATGGTACCATCCCTTACTACTTTTTCTTGTTTTAGGCAGAAATTTGCTTGAGAAGGTGTTAAAGAGACTGATGGACTTGACTTGGATGTCCTTGGTATTAGTAATTAGAACATCCTACTTGGAGTGCAATGTTGTGTGAAGCATTTTGAATACAGATTCTGATAAAAACAACCATTTGAATTGCTGATCTCTCCAAATCACATTGTTGATCTTGAGAAGTGTACGCCTTGCAGAAAATAAGATCTTGAGAAGAGTACGCCTTGCAAAAAATAAGATCTTGAGAAGTGTACGCCTTGCAAAAAATAAGATCTTGAGAAGTGTACGCCTTGCAAAAAATAAGATTCCTTTTCACTCTGCTGTCAAAAGTTTGTTATATGCACATATATACCTAAAGTGCAGGTAATCTGCCAGATATATGTGGTGTTCACTTTATAATCTTCCTTTTACTTTTATATTAATTATATGTGCAAATGCAATGCAGTATTATAAAGCACATTTTGTAAAACGTATAATGTCAACTAATTCACAAGTGTAAGAGAATATCAAGTGCATTCTGTTATTAGATTTGATTTTGAACAAACTGATATGTCTTATATGGACAAGTAAAACACCCAATCATCTATGTTCAGCCTCTTGTGCACAATAATGAATGTGGAGCATCATGGCAGACCTCTCAATAAACCTGTTCTACCATAGTAGAGTAAGTACAGTCACAAAATCTGAAATGGACAGTTTATTGTGAACAGTACATTTCCATATCTTTATAGGAATATATACAAGTATGAGACAAGTTGGTTTCTTCATTTTAAAAATATGACAACAATCCCTAACACTCCTTATTAAAGCAACAGCTTTTGATATACATGACATGGCCCTTACGCAACTTGGATATGACAAATTGGTTTGCTTTGGCCAGAGTGTTGAAAGTGCAAACATGTACTCTTCTAAGATTGCCCAAGACAACAGTGCCAGTGTGGATAGAGCTATTTATATATAATAGAAAATATAATGACATTATCCTGCAGGAAGTAGGTAAAAGGTCTCTTGCTTCAATTGGACAAGAAGGATTAATAATGGTATGTCAGCCAAGAATGTAGGCCATCTGTCATTATTAATTTTGATATGAATCATTAAATCTCTGAATTCATAGACCAGAGAAAATCAGTTTTCTGTGAGTAGAGCCCGAATGTTTTTTATTGTAAAGATCAGATCATGAGTTCTCTCATGAAACAGAGTATGGTATCATTTTAAAGGGGTTATTACATGAGGCTTAGTCCTAGTAATTGTAAACTGTCCATGGAAGACCTTTGGGCTGTCCTATCCCAAAGCAAGCATTCTCAAGTGCTCACAAACCTGGACTAAGCTGAGATAACAGGGATAGTAAGAAGGTGAAGTGCTATGAACTAGTATTTGCCATGCCTTTAAATGTGGCCTTGGAAGCAGCAATATGAAGAAAAGGTGGTAAGCACCAGAGAGAGCAGAACCAAATAGCTACACCATATGACCCAGAATCTAGACTTGCTTCTTGGACATAACCCATCTACTCACTTTACAGACAATCTCTGTTGGCACTTTAAGTAATGATATAGAAACTCTTATACTGATGTTGTTTCTACATGTAAGATGGAAAGATACAGTAATTCATTTTGTTTAGAAACATGTGTACCCTTAACAATGACTTGAACCTGCTTCTCACCATACAGTAAGTGCTAGAGAAAGCAGAATCAAACCACTACACCATACAACCCAGTAGTCCATCAGTGATAGATATTATTGCATGCTTATCTAGAAGATTTCAAACATCCTGTTTTGCATACATGAGAGCACGTTCTGTACAATCTTCAGTTGTTGATTAGAAAAATTATACTAACGTCTTGCTTTTATTGATGTTAGCATAATCTATTCTTTTTATGATTGGATAGTAAAAAAGAATATAGCAAGAATAGAATTTAAGTTTGAGTAAGGAACCAAATAAATAAACACTAGATTAAATGTTATGGATTTCCAGTGTTTTACACTCTTACCCCTTTGATACAGAGTGATTGATGTGGGTTCAGAGTGGCGTACATTCAGCAATGAAAAGGCCAACAGTGACCCTTCCCGTGTGGGAGGTGCGGAAAACCCACTCCTTAATGGCTCTGATCTTTCCACCATTATTGGACCCGGCACAGGCAGCGCATCATTCGATGGGTTTGGAGGGTCCAAATATCAGAACAGAAGATCTGTAAGTATTGGCATAGTCATTGTGTTCTTTTATCTGCATTTTTCAAAAAAGGTTGTAAAAAATGTCTTGTTATCCTGTAAACTATTGTGCATAGATGGAATTTAGTGCCATGGTACAATTTGGCTTCACTGCAGAGTCAGTTTGTTTTTCACGGCAAGTTCAGTGTGATCCACATGTTGCATTAAAGAGAAATGGCTAGCAGAAATTGATAGCAGACATTCCTTTTTTTCTTACTTTCAGTCACTAAATACCAAGGGGATGGGCAAACATCCAGTACAATGTAATAAAAACATCAAATTAGCCAGTCAGGCATAACTGTGACATGCCTCATGAGGGATTATGTGACAGTGCATTACATACCTCTTGCGACAATTTTTACTTGAATTTGGCAAGGAATTGGAATGTTTTTCTGAGAGTTTATGCTCTTGGCTTTCACCATTATCTCTTCTACCTCCTCCTAACATGCTTGAGAACCCATTTAACTCCGGAACATTTTGTCAAAGAAATGGCTATTTACTGTAGATTTTTGGAAAGGTAATGGGAAGCTTGGGAAATTTGAAATCCATCCAGGATTCCAAATTTACTAAGCCATCCAGGCTACCTTTGAACAATTGTCTTCCATTTTATTTTTTACCCTCCAGAGAGTAGGTGCTCAATTAATTTAGGATTGGAGTTCATCTTTTGTGCTGTCATATTATGGCTTTTCACGTGGTTTCTTTTCATATTATAGTTTTTTGAGGTTTGACTTTAAGCCATGTAAAATGATTGAAAAGCCCTTTCCTGTATTGCAGCTGTATGTTATCCTTTTCAGATGTCAGGTTCAGACCGTGCCCTCATCAATGCCTTCCGAGAGATCAGTAACATGGCAGACAAGATCAACCTGCCAAAAGCCATTACTGACAGAGCAAATATGTTGTTCAAACAGGTCAGTAAATAGTGCTGTATTTTTTTTTGTGATAACGTGACAAATGAGATCTTCCAAGCCCAAAAAATTAGGGAGACATGAATTGATATGGGAAAAATGTAATAGATGGTTTTAACTTGACTGTTTATCCATCGCATGTCAGATTAAAATTATGTCAGATTAATGTTTGTAATTGATAAGTTTCTCTTTTTCACTGATGATGCCTTGTATTTTGACAAGGGAGGACACTCAACTCTATCATATAGGAAATGTATTGATGGATTGCCTCTCCTGTTTTCTGTAGCACCAGTAACTGATCTTACAAGAAATAGTACATTTTCTTCATAGTTTCAAAGAATCTAAAGGCTATTTTATTTTCTATAAAAAAGAATTATGAGTGCCCATGATTTGTAAAACCTATTAATTTTATTCATATGCAGTGTATGGATAACCATGACTATCAAGTAATCTCAGTTATGTTTTTCAGGTGCACGATGGCAAAAATTTGAAAGGACGTAGCAATGATGCCATCGCGTCAGCTTCCTTATACATAGCCTGTCGACAGGAGGGAGTACCCAGAACCTTCAAAGTATGAATGATTTCAAGAGTTTTTATTTGACAAGGCTTTATTTTATTTTATTAATTCATTCATTCATCCATCCATCCATCCATCCATCCATCCATCCATCCATCCTTCCATCCATCCATCCATCCATCCATCCATCCATCCATCCATCCATCCATCCATCCATCCATTCATTCATTCATTCATTCATTTATTTTCTAATAAACACAAGTTTACAGTTTAAGAATGTTTGTAATAGTAATGGCCAATGTGAGATGAATGAATATGGTCAATGAAAATAGATATTTTTTTAGAGAGACTTGGCAACAGTCATGGGTGGCTCCAGAAGCCACTCTTTAGCCACCAAGGAGCTAATCATAGGCCTACTTTACCTCACTATACAGTAATATTGATAGTAATATTAACCCATTGCCACAGGGGAAAATGAACAAAAAATGGGGAAAATGCTGTGCCTATTTTCTATACTTTTTTGTTAAATGTCTGCCCATGGATGGCTCTGTTAGCGCCTGATTTGAAATGGTGGGAAAAACGTATTTTTCACTATTGTCATGAATATCGATGGTGTTATAAACATTATAATTTTTATAATGTTTTTTAATATTAGTAACAGCAAAATAAGATAGCGTAAAATATTTCGTAAATCAAAGAAAAGGGTGAACAGGTGAGACAGGCGGTGCTTATAACTGGCTCATTGGTGATTTAGTACAAGTGTAGCTATCTATGTGTAAAAACAATCCAACAAGTAATCTCACAGTGGGCATGGCATGGCATGCCCGGCGGGAATGGGTTAAGATTAACTATACTAACAGAAATAAGACTTCTTACCTTACCTAGGTATTCTTACCTAGTTGTTTCAAAACGGGAGAAAAGCTAAGATCAGATGGTCCCATCTGCTTTATATTTTTTAACTTTTTAACTTTTACATTATCTGGGAGACTCTTCTAAGTTTCAATAGTTCTGTTTGGAAAACTGATCTTTTTGACATCTTTATTGCCTCCTTTTCAACTTCTTATCTTGTCCCCTCATCCATCTTGTGTCCAAACTTATAAAGTCATATCTAATTTCACTCTTCTTGTAGTCAAACAGTATAAGCATGTCACCCCTTTTTCTTCTTTCATCCAAAGTAGTTAGTCCTGTTTTCTCTAGTCTATCTTTGTATCTCCTATCTCTTAGAGTAGGTGCCCATCTTGTGGCTCCTCATTGAACTCTTTCCAGTTTGTCTATATCCTTTTTTAAGTGGGTATTCAATACTAGTACTCCATACTAGGTTATGGTGGCTGTAATTATCTTTACCATATCTTCATCCTTATACAAGAATTCCCTGTCATGTTGGCAGTCAACCCTAGCATTTTATGTGCTTACAATCTTTTTTATGGTTATTCCTAGATCTTTTCCCCTCATTGCTGTGTTTAATATTGCATCTTCTAATTTGTTTTGGGATTCTGACTACATGGTTTTATTAATGTTGAATTCCATTTTTCATATACAACTCCACTTGGGAGGCATTGGCATATGATGCTGTCTAATATCGTTTTACCTATTTTTGCATTATCTGCTAATGTATCCAGATAATTACCTAGGCTTATGTTTGACCCTAAATTATGGATGAAAGTAGTAAAGATAATCAACACCAACACTGATTCTTGAGGTACTCTGCTAGTTTCCCTTTCACTCCACCTAGTGTTCTAATTTACATAATAGTCTTCTATGAGACACCATATCAAATTCTTTCTTAACCGCTTGGTCTGTGGAGTACGGCTGTATGCCGTGGCAATGCTTTGGGCGGGATCTTCTGCTTGATGTAAAACTCCCGTGCTCAAACTCGGGTTGTTGACATTAACCCATTGCCGCCGGGGAAAATGAACAAAAAATGGGGGAAATGTAGCACTCATTTTTTATATTTTTGTGAAATATCTCTGTCCATAGATGGCTCTGCTAGTCCTGATTTCACCTTTCCTTGAAATAGCGGGTAAAAACGTATTTTTACTAGTGCTATAAATATAGATGGTGTTATTTTTAACAGCAAATTAGGATAACATTAAATATTTTCGTAAATTGATGAAAAGGGTAAACGTAGTTTTTTGTGAATTTTGTTACCTACAGATGGCTCCACATGTGCTCAGCCGGCAAGGAGTCAATCAATAGGCCCTAGTTACCGACCCTGATTTTCCCATTCATTGAATTGGCGGGAAAATTAATACCATTGCTATTGATACTGTTATTTTTGTTATTAATGTTATGATTATTAAATTGTCATTAGAATAGGGTATACAGGTGAAATAGATAGTTCTTGATAACTGGCTATTTGGTGATTAAGAACTTGTGGAGCCATCTATGTGGAAATACAATAAATAAACGTGTATCAAAGTGTGTATGGCATCTATTCTTGCCACGTGGGGCGAATGGGTTAAGTATTCACAATCCACACAGCTTCCTCTTGTAATATTTCATAAACTCGTGTCATAAAATCAGGGGATCTGCTACACATGACCTTCCCTTCGTAAAACCAAATTGCTTATTTGATATCATATTGTGTTTTCAAGTACTTCAACACATTGTTTCATAATTATCCTTTCTAATAGCTTACACACTACACTGTTTAATGAAACTGTGTTATAATGTAGATGGGTTTGTTTGTTGCTGTTCTTATATAAAGGTGTAAAATTGGTGAATTTCCAGGCTTTTGGTAGTTTTCCTTGCATCACTGAATTTTGAAATATTAACAGTAAAGGTGTACACAGTTCTTTGGCACATTCCTTAATAACTTCTTTAGAAATCTTATCTCCTCTCTCTGCTTTAGTCTTGTCTAACCCTTTTAGAAGGTCTTATTTCAGTCTTTCATTCATTCTTTTGTACTATTTATGTAGGTTACAGAAAAGCTTTAGTTGACTTGGACATCTATAAATTATATCTTTTTTAAAGTCTGTTTTTGCCTCCCTCATGGTTTGGGTATACTAATTTCTCCCTACTTCACACCTTTCATACACTGACCGAGATCTGACTTCTGAACCTTTTCCAAAGTAGCTGCTTCTTTTCTCTTATTTTCTTGCATTTATCATTGAACTGCTTTTGGTTATTTCTTGCTTCAGTTTTGAATCTTCATACAAATTTCTAGTTTCTTATAGAATTTGCAAAATTCTGAATATCATATATCAATGTTCTCTTTGTCGAGGGTTGTTTCCTACTTTGTACCAACAAAGATATTTTTAAGGCTTATATAATTACTTCTCTTGTGCTTGTACTTCCCCTTTCTTTCCTTGCTTACAATGATTAGTTTTTTTTTCTGTAACAGACAGTGTTGTAGTTTAATGATCACTGTTTCCTGGAGGGACCACAGTACTCCATTTCCTTTATATCATCTTTATGCTTTGTGGAAATTAAGTTAAGCATAGATGGTCTATCTAGCTCTGTTACCCTGGTATAATCTAGGTTTTGTCTTTTAGTAATTTTCTGTTCCATGAATAGGGCTGCTCTGTGATAGAAACTATCTTGGTCAATTTTGCTATGAAAATCTCTTGCCTCTTCCATTATATGAGATTAGCTGCATGGTAAATTGCTTTCAATCTGCTTAAGTTTCCTGTGCTTGATTACTTTGACTTTTTCTTGCAGATTTTTTGCCTTGAGTTGACCACCATTACCAATCTTGATTTCTACTTCCACCTTTTACTTGAGTTCTTTGATTTTCTTGTTGGACTTTTCAGTACTCTTTCTCTGAATTGTTGTGTAAATGTATAAATGTGTGATCATGTTTTAAAAATGACTTTCTTATTTAGTGTATATTTAGCGTCTATAGGACAGTTCTAGTAAGGAAAGTGGCTTGAACATTTATGAGGAATATAAAATGATAAAGAATCTTGACAGTTTCCACAAAGAATTGACCATCTGTATATCCACTCTGTATGATGTGCAACTTAGAATTAGCCTTCTGTTTATAAAGACACCTGAAAAATGTTTATTCAATTTGTCAATAAAATATGATTTATATATCCACTCTGTAGTCAATCCTCTTTGGCTAATAAATCATATATGGCCAAGCTTTTGATAAAGATTAATGAATGAATGAACTGTGTCCCTTAGTTAAGCCTTTACTTGTCTAGTGTCTTTATATGCTGAACTTATAACTAGTCTGCCATTTATTTTGTAAGACTTAAAAGGCTAGATATTGCTGATTGCTGATGATAAATGATTTAGTTGTGGATACATATCATTAAGATTATTGGGATATAACTGCTTAATTCATCAAGAATTGAGACCTGATTCCTGTTGGTGGAGTCTAATGTTATACCTTTCATTCCAGGAAATTTGTGCTGTGAGCAAGATTAGTAAGAAAGAGATTGGACGCTGCTTCAAACTCATCTTGAAGGCTCTGGAAACCCAAGTAGATCTCATCACCACTGGAGACTTCATGTCAAGGTTTTGCTCGAATCTTGGCCTCCCGACAGCTGTCCAGAAGGGTGCCACCCACATTGCCAGGAAAGCTGTTGATTTGGACATCGTTCCTGGAAGGTCACCCATTTCTGTAGCAGCAGCAGCAATTTACATGGCCTCCCAGGTATGTTCTGTTTTGGATGGGTGTAAATTACTTATTTCTATTTCTCTTTGTATTAAATTAATCCTTTTGACAACTATGAAAGGAGTATTAGTCCGTGGGGAGTATTTCTTCACATGGATCAATTTTGCCAGCACTATTGTTAGCTTCTAAAGTCTCAGTACACTTGTCATAAACAATTATTCTGCATTTATTATGTTTTCTTATGTTTATCGTACAATATTTACTCAAATATCTGTATAACAAAGCTGTTTGCAGCTGTTGAGTAACCTTTTACAGAGCATCATAAATCTGGTATTGATATGTGGAAAGTGATTGTTGCTTATCTATGAGAAATGTGTAGTTGTGTCCAAATCTTAAGTTAGATAATGGTAGATGCAAATGTAGTATATATGACATTGGTGATTTGATGTAACAGGGAGGAGTGAGATATATTATCCATTACCCAATAGGATCTGGCTCTCTTGAAAAGGATAAGCCCATATTTACATATTTGTAGTTTATGTACATTATGTACACTGTTCATTGTGAGCCTTCTAGTACTATCAATGTGAATCATCATAACAGCAGGCTATGATATTCTCTGAAGCATTCAATGATGAACAAAGGCATTTTGCACATGCACAATGTCCCATTTGTGCATCTCTCTCTCTCTCTCTCTCTCTCTCTCTCTCTCTCTCTCTCTCTCTCTCTCTCTCTCTCTCTCTCTCACACACTCACACTCACACTCACACTCACACTCACACTCACACTCACACTCACATCCACACACACTCACACTCACACTCACACACTCTCACTCACACACTCTCACTCACACTCACTCACACTCACTCACACTCACACACACACACACACACACACACACACACACACACACACACACACACACACACACACACACACACACACACACACACACACACACACACACACACCCTCACCCTCACCCTCTCCCTCTCCCTCTCCCTCTCCCTCTCCCTCTCCCTCTCCCTCTCCCTCTCTCTCTCCCTCTCCCTCTCCCTCTCCCTCTCCCTCTCCCTCTCCCTCCCTCTCAGAAATCCTTTAACCCAGCATTGGCTGGAGTGTCACTGATGAAATGGCCAGAACATTAGCAGTACCAAGCCATTGCATATGTGAGATATTTTTGTTCCTGGCCTAGACTTGGACAGTTGCTGCTATATCTGATATGGTATTTTTTTTTACCCCTGTGTTGTGCAATTTTCCATATACCTTGTTTTAAGTTTTGGGTTTGCTGGCCTCATTCTTGGTTTGAGGAAGATGTTAACCCATTGGATCCGGGTAAATTGGATGTCTTGCCATTCCTGGGAGTGGACAGTCTTCAGGGAGGACACTATGTCCATGTGCAGGAACCTATTCCTGCCAGCTGTTACTGGTATTGCAGAGTTTGGCATGGGAAATGAAATGATATGAAAATATAACAAATAACACAAATAGTACAATATAACTTATTGTTACTGTATTTGCACAGAGTGTAAATAACCTGGGGAGATAATATCAAGTCTGGTTAAAGAACTATCTGTATATTATCATTATCATATAGCATAAGAAATAACAGATGAAGACATCAAAAATAGCAAAACAATAAAAATCCATCTGTTGAAAAAATGGCATATAGTATTGCAAAAAAAAGGCAAACAATTCAAATTAGACAATGCAGTGTGGACTATGGAGATGCTCCATCATCTACAACTAGCTAGATTAATTTGAAGCCACCTAAAGTAATTGGACCGAGATTATCGCTTGTATTCAGAGACATTTTGGACATCTGAAATGGAAAGCTGCACCAGCCTCTTGCACCTGTCAGCCAGTCACCATTGAGACAACCCAACAGTGATTGGCTGACGGGCGAGATATGCTGGTCCGGTTCTCCATTTATGATGTCTGAAGTGTCTCTGAACATGAAAGTTTATCTGGCGACACTTATGCATTCAAGTATAACAATATAAGTCTGGTGGTTAAATAAACAATGTTAAAAAATCTAAGGAAACTAGGCCACTTCTATTTTAATATTCAGAATAAAATGCTTGAGATAGTAAGTATATTGTGAAACACATTCCCTGTCTTAATTTCCTCATCAGATGTTAAATGCTCTCACTTAGCTATATTGCTTACAGGTTAAACTAGCTAAAGGATAAATTCATAAATGGAAAAACATGATATGATACTTTGATTGATTGATTTTTATTACTTTTATCATTATTTTAGAACCTTCATCCTTTAGCAAGGAGCACATAAACATTCCGTTCAAAAATCAAAATGTGTCTCTTTTTTTTCATGTGCTTATGCATTTCATTTCAAATACTGACATGTGTGACAAAGTTTGCTTATACCTTTTTTTAACAATAGCATTTATATTATATTTGAATGTATTACAGAGTTTACAGATAAAATCCAAGCTCAATAATTTCTTGATGGCTGCATATTTATTTAGTCAGCTATACCAACATTTTTATCTCAATTTTAACAAATTTGGCATAGTTGCTGCTCAAAAGATGCATATTTCTTACCTCTAAGAATTGCCAAAATCATCATTGTGATTATTTTTTAAACAGATTTTTATCCCAAACCCAACAAGTATAACCCTTTCTCAGGCTGGTCCCTTTAAAGTATTGGTGTTGTAGATGGCTGGAACAAATGTTTATTTATCTTCGAACCAATAGCCACATTCTTTCAAATGTATTTTCAGTTTCCTCCGTAACATCAACATCTAATGTGTAATATTCAGTATCACTGTCATCATCGGTATCTTTGACATATTGTCTCAGTCTTAGTAATTAGTTATGCATTCTTTAAGAATCCTGCCAATTTACTCATCAGTTAAATTTTTTTTGGCTTTTGACACACTACCTTGATGGACATGTATTCTCAATGTTGTATGTGGTGCTACTGTGCTTGTGCTTTAGACAAGCCAGAATTCATGGATGGATATGATGAAGTGTTTAGTTCATTTAGTTCACACATTCCCAAGTGAGACAATTGCCATATACTGTCCTTTAGGGTTTAAAAGATGTGCATTGCCTTTGTACAGGGCACTCGCCCAGGAATGGTAACTTAGAATGTGGCATCCTGATACTCTTGACTAATAAAGTTATCCCCCCCTCTCTCTGTCTCTCTCTCTCTCTCTGTCTCTCTCTCTCTCTCTCTGTCTCTCTCTCTCTCTCTCTCTGTCTCTCTGTCTCTCTCTCTCTCTGTCTCTCTCTCTCTCTCTGTCTCTCTCTCTCTCTCTCTCTCTCTGTCTCTCTCTCTCTCTCTGTCTCTCTCTCTCTCTCTCTCTCTCTCTCTCTCTCTCTCTCTCTCTCTCTCTCTCTCTCTCTCTCTCTCTCTCTCTCTCTCTCTCTCTCTCTCTCTCTTCTCTCTTTCTCTCTCTCTTTCTCTCTTTCTCTCTCTCTTTCTCTCTCTCTTCTCTTCTCTCTCTCTCTGCTCTGTCTCTCTCTCTGTCTCTCTCTCTGTCTCTCTCTCTCTCTCTCTCTCTCTCTCTCTCTCTCTCTCTCTCTCTCTCTCTCTCTCTCTCTCTCTCTCTCTCTCTCTCTCTCTCTCTCTCTCTCTCTTTCCCCCTTTCTCCCTCCCTGTCCCTCCCTCTCTCTCCCTCTCTCTCCCTCTCTCTCCCTCTCTCTCCCTCTCTCTCACCCTCCCTCCCTCTTCCCCCTCCCCCCTCCCCCCCTTCACAGTATATTCCAATGGCTCTTCATAACATTGAAACCAGTGTCACAGTATAAAATGGTCTTTATATATAGATTAGTAGAATATGTTGTTCAGTACCAGTGAAATTTAATACATTTTCTTTTTAACATTTTCAGGCTTCAGAGGACAAGCGAACTCAGAAGGAAATTGGTGATATTGCTGGTGTTGCAGACGTCACCATCAGACAGTCGTACAAGCTTATGTACCCAAGAGCAAAGGAACTTTTCCCAGAAGACTTCAAGTTCTATACACCTGTGGAGCAGCTGCCACAGTTATAGAGTTCGTGTTTTACAGAGGAGCTCTTTGGAGATGTCATTAACATTTACATATAGTGGGTTTGACCCCCATTTTATAGGAATAAGTACCTTGGAAGTTTTTTATTTTGATTTTTTACCCCCTGTTAGGTTCTTAAGTTAATGAGTTTCTTGAGAGGATTGACATAGTAGCAAGAAAGCAGTTAATACTCATTAAAAATGAAGGGGTAAGAAAGTGATGTGGATGAGGCAGAGATTTTTAAGAATGCCATGAGGTTTACTCTTGAAAATCAAATATACCATATATCTTTTATTGCTTTATGAAAACACAAAATTATATTCTTTGTAAATTGTCAGGAGATTCCTTGCTTATTAGCAATTTTAATAGATAAAAGTTTGCATTCAAAGATTATTTTCTTTTGTGTTTTCTAAAAAGTGTAAAAAAAAAAACAAAAAGCAAAACCAGAAAAAAGGAAATCTTTTTATGTTGTGTAACCTTACTGATTACTGAGAAATCATTTTAACTGATCACAAAATGAAAGACAGAGTGAATTGTGAAAAAAAGAAGAGGGGGTTAAAAAAAAAAACAAAAGCAAAAAAAAAAAAAAAAAAAAAAAAAAAACTTTGGAAAACTTACGTATTTGTTTATATATGTATATTTATACATTAATGTATACAAGATTATTGATGTATAATGAGGGTTAAAGATTTATTAACATGTATGTAGCATTTGATGGATTGTTTTTCCAAAGGGTAATTACTGAAATAGAATTATTTTATATATCCCAGAAAGGAACTTGTGTAATGATTAATAGCAGGAAGTTCGCCCAAGTGTAGATGCAGAAACATGTAGTGTGATATATAAGCCTCTTGTTATTGGATGTTCTATCATTTTATTTTTTTATTTAATTATTTTTTTTTTTTATGAGGTAGGTTGCTAAAATACAAACAGAAAGGAAACAATTCATTCATGTGTCTGAAGAAGGGAAAAAAAAGAAAGTTGGAATCGCCATGGGCCCTTGGGATTTGTACCTTTTGTACGTAGGCATAACTATTACAGCATGCCTTGGTCAGTATCAAATGTTTTTTAGAAGTAAATGAACCCTCTGAATGTTTGTAGGTTATTGGGCAATGTAGATGAAAAGAAAGTACAAAATAAATACTTTTTTGACAATGGACTCTTATGATGATTGGTATTTATTATTATAGGTATTATTGGTAATTGTTTCTTGTTTATGTTAGCACTATTATGATATTTGTTGTTGTTGCTTTTATTATTATTATTATTATTATTATTATTATTATTATTATTAATCATTTTTATCGTTATTATTATTATTACTATTAATCATTATCATTATTATTATATTATTATATTATTATGTTATTGATTAATGAACTTTATCACTATTAGTAATATCATTATTGGTTATATTAGTTAATTATTCTTGTGTTATGATTACTACTATTGCAGTGCTAATTTTCATTACTATATATTCAGATGCATTACCATTCATTGTGATTATTATGAATAGGATGTACTCTCAACAACCCCTTGTGCCTCTTATAGATTATGTTATGTACTCAAAGTAATTGTGATTTGTGTAGTTTTGTATGTGTTCATTGTTTATCATCATTTCCAATATCATATCACAAATTTGCCACAAATGTTCAGCTCTGCATCAAGAAATAACTTGAAAGGAAGATAAGAAATGGAAACTACAAATGAACAGTTAAAGTGATATAGAACAAGTGATAGAAGGTAAACATGAGAAGATTTCATGCGTTTTATCTCCATTCCATTGTTAAGGCCCCGAAATTATGAAGAAAAAATAAAACCAAATAAAATACAAATAAAATAAGATAAAATGAATAAAAAAAAAACATATATGGCATAGTTATTATTTTTTATATTGATAATCATGGTAAATATGTAAATAATAACCATACAAACTTGTCATGCGTTTAAAGTGGGAAGTTTGTCTGTCCCTGTTGTTAGCAGTGACAAAAACATTTTGTAAGGTGAATATTTTTAAAGGAAGGATGTCGGTAAAAACTCTTCGTTTTATGGATAGAGTTCCTTTGATTTCGGACAGTTGGAAGGGGGTCAGGGGGGGGAACAGAGCTCTTCTGGTGGGTTGTATAGTTAAATTTGAGTAGGACAATAATTGCTGTTATACTATTATCATTATTATTTTATTATTCATATTTATTGATAATCAAATTTCCTTGCTTGTCACACAATATTTTGTAAGGTTTAATTTTGTTCACAACTTTTATTTATTTATTATTATTTTTTTTCCCATGGAATGAGTAACCATTTTGGGGCAAAGATAAGGTAATACCCATTCAACTGTTGGGTTCACTCTATCAAGGAGAATGAGAAGGGCTCTTTCTCGGTACGGACCCTCGAAGTGGCTGAAGTGGTGAGGGAAGGTGCCCTCTTCGCTGTCCCAGTTTAGGAATGCTAAGTTTTTAACAGCAGTGAGTTTATATACAGACGGAAATAACTATCAACAAGCTAAGATTTTTGTGTTGAACTGTAGTCAATTGCAGATGCTTCTGTATTTATTTTGGCATTTTGTATCCAAATATATTGGAAAAGGCACCAGATGTTAGTTTTATTCTCTTTAGCCTTATGATACAAGTTTCTTGTTGGGGAATATAACATATATAAGAAGCTGGTGTATATTCAATGGCTATACCCCCCCCCCCCCCCCAATCCCCTGGCCGTTGTTGTCGTGGGGGGGGCTTAGGAGGCGGAGACTGGGACCTAATGATGGGGAATTCCCCACCTTGGGACTCAGCCCTCGACTCAACTAATTTTGCATGGTCTTTTTTTCCTACTTTTTCGTTTCTGTCCCTTCACCAACCCCTTCTACTATCCACTTCCTAAGGTGTGAGAGCCGTGCTGAAAGGATGAAAGGCTGACTTTGTGCCAGTCCTGCAAGGCTTGAAGGAGCCATGGGCACGGTATTCTCCTGCTTTAGTTGCCTAGCCCTTACCCCTCAAGGGGACTCGTGGACTGTTTCTCTTCCCAACATACTCCAGGCTTACCATGGCCAACAATGAAGATGTTATTCCACTATTAGGGGCAATGAGGCTTGCCCCTTCATCAAATAGCCCCAACAATTCAAACTCTCCCGATTCCCTAACCCCAGGCTCTCCTTTGACCACGGCTCTGAACACTACAACTACTACCCCCTCCTCAATGCCTACTAGTACAGTATCCACCCTAGTCAACACCCAACCCCCAGGAGACCTTTCTACTCTCCCAACATGCTCAACATCTACTCCCATAACCTTCTTCATCAACTATACCATCCTCCCTTATTACTACTTTACAGCCTTATTGCCCACCTCTCCTACTACCCTCATCTCTACAAAAATCTTAAATGCTCTATTTAGCCCAGTCGAATGGGACCGATTTTTCGTGATCCCTCCTACAGCTCCCTATTCTGACAACACCCTTCACTTCCAGCAATGTTTCCAAAAACAAGTAGGCAAAGTCTCTTTCCGTTGCCGACCCGACCGTTCCCGTCTCGTCATAGTAACATCTGAAAACCAAGCTATAGCATTATCAAATCTAACTGATCTATATGGTAACCCTATCCCTGCAGAAGCCCATTCAACCCTCAATACTTGCATGAGAACTGTTTCTATCTCCCCGGCAAATTGCCTAATCTATAACAAAAATTGGTCAGATTGTGGAGCAGACTTACTCGCCTGTCTCTCGGACTATGATGCGATATCAATACAATGCTTCTCCATTCCTCCCAGAGGTCAATTGTAAGAACCCTACTAGCATTGCCAAAATTACTTTCCATAGACACGACCTTCCTTTTAATGTTTACATCTGTGGAGAATCCCTCCCTGTCCAACCATATCAACAACCTCCTCGTCAGTGCCAAAATTGTTGGCGTTCAGGACATCCAGCCAAACATTGCCGTTCCACAGCCAAATGCCCGTTATGTGCCCAACCTGGCCATACTCGTTCAAACTGCTCTGCACACTCACGCACATGTGCCAATGGTGGCGATCCCCTTAATGTATTTTATAGGGGCTGCCCCACCTACAAGTCTGAGTCTGAGGTAGCAACTCTCAGATTCAGACTTGGACTCACTCTTCGTGAAGCCAGACAGGAAACACGTCGCCGAGGTTTTTCTCTTACTCCCTATTCCAGTAATGTCGCTCACTCTGCCACTCCCCCTACCTCCCAAGCTCCTACACCCTCCCCTAAACCTATCCCTCCTCCATCTAACTTCCCCTCTTCTACCTCCTACCTTCCCCAGTCAAATTCTTTTACCATCCTAAATCCAGACACTCCAATCTCTACTACAGCCCCTACACTTTCCTCTCTCACTCCCCGCAGCAGACAGACTAAACGTTCCACCCCCTCTCCCCCTACCACACAATCACCTCCACCTTCCTTTGCCCCTACACTTCAGAGGCCAGTCTTCTCTTCCCCCCCCCCCCTCACAAGAAAACCTTTGTCTCACAAAACTCCCCAACCAACTCTATTACAGAAACTCTTGAAGATATTCGAAACTATCTACTCGAGTCCCAAACTGACACTAAAACCCCCCATCCACCTTCAAATTTCACAACTCCCACTCCCTCCACACTCAAAGTAACTACCGATATCCATCCTCCCCCCTACTCATATCCCCCCTACACCTTATCCTCATACCCCCTCCCAACACAGCCCATCCCCCCAGACTCCAGCCCTACCTATATTAACCCTTCCGCCATCCCCTCTATCCCTTCCACTCCCTCCTGGATACACACGTGAATCCCTTATATCACAACTATCCCCTTCCCCAGCCCTCCACCTCCTAATACCCCTCCTATTACAACACCACCTCCAGCTCCTTCCCCTTCAAATTCTCCAACACGTACTACAACCGTTATCACTCATAAATAAACGAAAGTACAACTATCCTTCATTAGAATATTCGCGGTTTCCGTTCTCACAGACTTGACCTTCGTCAAATCCTTAACTCTTATAACCCATCCACTATATACTTTCTGCTTTGACAACCTATTTTCCTTCCTCAAACGCATATATATCCTTCACTTGGTCTAACCCCTTCATATTACCTCAGTTTATATTACTCGTCAGTTCCTTTGTCCAGCTTCGACAACTAATTACTAACTCAACCACCCTTCATTACCGTTTACTATAGTGCTACATGACCTTAGATATCTAGCACATTTATTTTGCTTTTAACCATTAACTATCAATGGCTATGCAGGTGTTTATGGATGTACATTTGGATGGAAAAGGAAATTTCTGATTAGTAGTGAATGTTACTACTGTTT